CTCTCTCTCTCTCTCTCTCTCTCTCTCTCTCTCTCTCGGCGGCTATAATAAGCCCTACTTGCAACAAAACTACTTGCTATACAGCGACTGCTTGCTACACAGCGACCTCGCTCACTCCCTACTTGCTACACAGTCCTGCGTGCCCTTGCAACCTCCGCCTCGGACGCCTGGCGTCGGTCCGGGGCGTGGTCAAGAGCTTCCGCCCATGCCCCTTCCCATCGCGCCGGCTGCCCTCCGGTCACTCTCGTGGCCGTCTGGCCTCCCCAGAATCCTTCTCCCCGGTGTGCTCGCTGGTGATACTGCGCGCGGCGCTGTCGTAGCCAATTCATGGCCCGACTGATGGCGATATCGCCCCTCCGTCTGCCGATGTGGGGTCGAGCTGCTCGGGCCCGCCGGGCTCGCCAGAGACGGACTTCTTCAAATGGTAGGCGTGGGATCTTGCTGATCGCGGCGACGTGTCGGAGCTGAACCGTATCCAAGGCGTTCACCATCTGTCTCCCAAGGACCCACGTCCCGGCGTAGAAATTGAAGATGCTCTCCGCGTGTCTCGTCCACATCTGCGCCCGGGATGCGAAAGGTAAGGCGTTGTTCTGAAGAAGACGCCGGTGCTTGAACCAAGACCGTTGGATCTTCTCCAGCGCTTTGCTTCGATCCGCATGGCTGCTCGCATTGCCGCTCACAGTGCGCCCAATGACGACGAGTTCATCCTTGACCTGCCAAGCGCAGCCCCCTGCCTCCAACTGCCACTCGCCAACCGGCTGTTGAGATACCTGTAACAACTCGCGGCTATCCGGTTTGATAGTGTGGCCTTTCAGGTTCAAGGCGCCCTCGATGATGGTCAAGACGCCTGCCGCCTCATGCACTGAGTCCCCGAAGCTGATCAGGTTGTCGGCCCACGCCATGGCCGTCACATAGCGCCCTTCCTCCAAAGCCCATCCTCTCACAGCAAGGTCGCCAGCACAATCCAGGAAAGCGTCCTCGACCACCCACTGTCCGATGGTAGCCGCTGTCCGCGCACCCGTAAATGCGCCTCTGCTGCGCTCCACAACGTCCGTTAAAGCGTCCGCAACGCGTATGCGAACCTGAGGCCGGGAATGGAGCCGCATAAGCATCATCGCATCTGCTTCCGGTGCGCTCCGCCGGGCCATGCTGTCGCACGCGCTGTCCCAGCCCAAGCAGTCGTGGAAGTTGGCCACGTCCATGGAGCCCACCGCGCCAGCGTTACGACGGTCCATGCTCTTTTCGACCACCTGGCTGCACGCAAACGTGACCTCGGCCGGTTGGTGGTGCTTGCTCCCTCCGAGGACAAGTGCATCGAGTCCATGGCCTGCGCTCCAAGCGGATGTAATGTCCACAATGCGCGCGTGCACGCAAGCATGGCACACGCTCAGGATAGTGTTTTGAAGGACGATGGTGCGGATCTTCGTTGGCAGCGCCACTCCGGCAACCTTTGACTTTGAGTAACCCTCGAGCTCCACCGCTTCCCATCCAGAGTCGTCAACAAGCAGAAGGTTGACCGCCTTCTTGGCCAACGATGCGCCCGCCTGACCGCGGAAAGCGGCTGGGCAGAGACCCCGTCTGTCTTTCGCCCTTTTATTCTTCCGTAGACTTGATATGGCGACCCGCACGTCCGGCGTGTCGAAAGGGACGGCCGTATGCAAAGTTCCCCGGGCGTCCCGTTCCATCCATCGCGCGCCGTGGCTCGCATTTGCCTCGGTCCAGCGCCTCTCCATTTCTGAGTGGCACGCTGTAGCCCACGCCGCGTGATCATGCACTGTTTCCGGCCCTATCTTCATCGACGTTATCGCGTGCAGCCCGGACCGCGGAGACGGCAAGCGTTTGAGCCGCCGGGCCCTATCAACACCCTCAATGTCCCACTTCTTAGTAAGCCACTGCTTGCGCATGTCCGTCAGCAGGGAATTCAGGTCAGCCTTGTGCTTCAGATCCAGAGTGTCCTTGATTTGCAGAGGTTCCCTTGTGCGTCTCCGCTGTCGCGATGTCTGCACGTCGGTGTATTTATCCATGATTCCCTGCACCGCCTGCGTGATGTCGCTGACGGACGTCAAAGTGTCCCCGTCCAGCGTGTCCAACTCCCGCTCGTACGCCTCCCAGTCCGTGCAGTGCCAGACTCGCTTGGTGTGGCGGTCGAGGGAGGGCTGTACAGCGCCGGCCAGCCCGACGATCAGCCACGAGTGATCCCCAGGAGCGGAATCCCAAGTTGTATGTACTGGTGTCACCACGCCAGCCGAAGCAAAACAGTGGTCCAGCCAACTGGGATCTCCTTGTTGCTCGCCCGTCGGCGTCCACGTGTAGGTAGGGGCAGTCTCCTGCATGGACGACTGCAGGCCTGTGGCACCTATGACATTCAACAGAAATGGCCACTTCTGTTTCTCCTCCCCGGCATCCCTTCCGAACTGAACGTTGCCGTCAACGTTGAAATCCCCCAACCATATCAAAGCATCTGCGTGTCTGCCACTTCGTAATAGAAACTGGCCATCCTCCAAGGACTCCTCCCAGAGATCGCCATGAGCAGCGTGTGTGAAAACTATGCCTACGGTCGCCGTGCCGGAGCGCCTCAGGGAACAAGGCAAGCGCAGATCCACTCTACCAGACCTGTCTCGCCAAAGTACTGAACCCTTCACTTGGCCCGACCACGTGCTCCGTAGAACGAGTTTGAGAGCTCTGGAGCCCTCCCCCGGATAGTGCCTGATGACGACGTGACCTTCACGAGTGACGACACCAGTCGCTGTCGCTGGAGTTGCTGATGAGATCAGCCTCCGCGATCAAAACTGCGGCCCACGTGCCATCGGTCTTCAGCGCCACCTCATCGATGATCACCTGCACCTGCTCCAGGGTGTTTGCCCGCCCCTGCGCGTTTACGAAAACAATCCGGGGGGCGGTCCGGACTGCCTCCTCCTTCCCCGTTCACGCATTGATGGCATCTGCCAGGGCAGGCAGATCGTCGGCAGCGTACCTCTCCAAGCCGAGCGATGTCCAATGCCAGCGTCCCACGCGTACCTCGCCGACCACCCGGGCCTGGACGTACACCTTCTTGGACCTTGGGCACCCCTCCACCTTCCCCTTGAAGCCCTCCCTGTCCTCGAGCCTCTCCGCCTCTGCGACGCCGCGGCGGAGCAGGCGTCCAGGCCTGAGGTCCTCGTTGCTCTTCCGGAAATCGAACCACACGTTCTTGCGCACCCCGTCGAACTGGATTTGTTCTGTCGAGATCCTCTCCCGGACCCGTTGCCCAATCTGGATGTCCGTGTACGTGATGCTGACGATGGACCCGTACGTGTAGACCGCCCGTAGTTGCTGCGGCTCCGGGGCCCCCACGCGCTGTAGGACCTCTCGAGCCCGAGTTTCAAGAATGTCCCTGTGGGTGTCGAAGCCGAGGTTGCCCATGGTAAATTGGTCCGGAGGCACCTGTGCGTGACGACGTGGTTGGGGTGGAGGTGGTGGCTGGCGAGCTGCCGCCGCCTGCCGCTCCTCCAACGCCTTCACCTTCGCGCGGAGCTCCTCGATGACCGCCGAGTGGTGGTTGCTGGCGTGGCCCATCGCTGTCTGCGTGGCCTCGTACATGTTGAGCCGCTGTTCCTGGTTGTTCTGAGTGAGCTCCAGGTCCTTGACGGACTGCTCAACAGTCTGGATCCTTTCGTCGATGTGCTCCCCGAAAGTCGTCATGGCCGTGGTAATAGTACTCGCGATGGCCCCGCGCAACCACTCCGACACCTGAGGGTTGCCAAGCCCTTCACCTGTAGGGTCCCGATCGAAAACCTCTGTATCATTCCGAGCCCGCTTTGACCCCGAACCAGAACCGTTGTTGAGTCCAAGTTTGGCCGCTGCCGCCTCCAGAGCCTGGCGAACGGGAGAAGCAGAAGAAGACATCAGATTACGCAAATGTAAAGTGGAGAAAAGGCGATGGCCAAAATGTGTACAGTATCTGCTCCTCCTCCTCCTCCTCCTCCCTCCTCCTCCTCCTCGACCTGGGAGCGCCGGGGGCCCCTCGGCCCCCATCGCGTTCGTTCGTTCGCAGGCCATGTCGCACGACACCTCGGCTCCGCAGGGGAAAAAAAGCCTTGCCGCGCAGGATAAGCGGCAGTCGTATAGTACACCTACGCAAATAGGGGGTCAATGGAAAGGCCATATTGCTTGGCAATTGCTTTCCAGACTGGCTGTCTCAGGTCGACCCCCATCGCGTGCTGAAAGAAAAGAGCGACGGGCTGTCTTGGGCTAAACTTTTGGCCTCCGGGGGCCCTCGAGCAGAGGACGCGGGATGAAACACAGGTCCTGGGGAAGTGGCTCGGGTGCTTACTCATGGGGGTCCAGGGCATGAAAACAAAACATCACCATGGGACGCACAGGGACATGCTAATACTATATGTCCTCCTTGGAGGCGCGCGTCCGAGCCGAACATGTAGTATACCCATACCGTAGTAAATCGTTTCCCGAGCGATGTGGCCAGAAAGCGCCCGCCACGACGCATATACTACAAGATTTCTCGGTGCGCGCGTCGCCCCTGGGGGGGCGACGCCTAGGAAGGGCACTTCGGAGGTGTCTTCGGGCAGCCCAGGAAAAGGCCTTTAGGAGCGGGCTGCGCGCATCCCAGGAAAGGCAGTTGCGAGGTGCCAGTGGGCGCTTGGGACAGGCACTAGGGGGGTGCCTGCGGGCAGCCGAGGCAAAGTACATGAGAGGTGCTTGCGGGCGCCTGGGAAAAGGCAGATTGAAGGTGCCTGCGGGCGCGCTTGTGAAGCGCTTGCGGGCAACCAGGGAGGTGAGACGCCGACACCACGGCGCCCGGGGGCCCGGGGGGTCCGGCAGAGGCCGCCGTCCGTCCGTCCATCTTCTCGACCCCCGTCCGACGCCTCGCTCTCTTCAGGACGAGCCACCAGCACGCCTCGACAAGACACCAAGACGCCTCGCTCTCTTCAGGGGCAACCGCCAGCACGGCGCGAGCCCTTCCGCGCCCTCCTCGGGGCCTGCCTCCGCCCTCGGTGGGCACCGCTTGGGCCGTTCTCGGGGCCATCGTTGGCTGGCCTCGGGCAGTGCTTCCAGCTGTCTCTGGCCTCCTGCTGTGAATACGGAATGCGGGCTCCCGAGGGCCAGCATCCATGCCACCGATCCGTTGGTGATGATGACGGGCCGACGACTAATCGACGACCTCAACATCGATCCGCCGCACGGCGCACTAGAGCCCAATCGGCGATGGGATGATGGAGAAATCAAACGCAGGAACGAATACCAAACACACACGTGGGGGATTCTTTCATCATCTAAGTCGGGCACGTCCCTCTACAGGAGGAATCCTCAAAAATAGTCACAAAATCACACGGGGACGATTGCTTCAGTATCTTTGAATATTTGGGTATATGTTTTATTTCTCGTTTTAAATCCCCCTGCAGGAGGACATGCCCGACCTAACATTATTTTCGAAATACTGTCACCCAGTTTTGGCGCCGTCTGCACCTGTTCCAGCGAGAACTGGAATGGGCGGGCGGTGAACGCGAAACGCCCTACATATACTGAGAAGAAAGAGGAGGAAGACGAGGAGGAGGAGGAGGAGGAGGCAGAGAAGGAGGAGGAGGAGGCGAGGAGAAGGATGATGACGAAAAGGAGAGGGGGGAAAAGGAAGAGGAGGACGAGGACGAGGAGGAGGAGCAGCACAGACGGGGGCCCCCGCCCCGGCGCTGGCCCCGCCTCCGGCCCTGGCCCCGGCGCTGGCCCCAGCCCGCGTCGTTCGTCGCTCCACATCGTCATCGGCATCATCGGTCGTCGTCGCTGGTCGTCGGTCGTCGGTCGTCGCTCGCCGTGACTCGCCCATCGTCGTCGTCAGGCGTCCTCGCCATCACTGGCGTCGGTCCTCGTCAACGGTCGTCGTCGAGCATTGGTGCAAACTCTGATGCCAGCTCGCCTGAAGCGCGGATCGTGCCCGTCCGCCTCGGTTTTTTCTCTGGACCTTCTCCTGAGGCTCCAGGTTCCAACTCGTGCCGAAACAAGTCAGCCACACGCCAATCATCGTCGGAAGGGGGGTTCGGCCACCCTGATCCAACTCGACGGAACGAACCCTCGAAGCTAAGAGCATGCTGCTGATTCTGTATCCTGGAAGTTGCCGAAGGGATAAGTTCCTCAGGCTGCGTGCAAGCTGGGTGGCCGACGCTTTTGCGACTGAGCCAGCGTCGGCGCAGCGGAGGCCCCGCTTCTGCGCGGCAGCGCGGGCAAATACCATCCTCCGACGACCCCGATATCCGCTGTCTCCCCCATCCAGCTTCCTCAAGCCGCTATGCACAATACTGCTGCTGACAACTGCCGACCCGTGTCGGCTGTCTCGAGATGCGCTGGAAACTGCGTCACTGAATAGTCGTCAGCTCCGAACTCACGGCCTGCTTCGCAACAGTTCTCAGCGGAGCACCGCCACTGACAAAGAGAAACGGACAGCGCGAAATCGTTAAGAAATTGGGCCTCTTCGATGGACTGGAATAGCGAGGCGTCGAACGTCCAATCAAAAACAAAAAACGAATACCATGGTCTCCGAGTGAACCGCGCCGCTCTCCTGCTGAAATCGGTGTCCAGCATGCTCGAAGAAAGTGAGCAATTGTTCATGCCAGAGGCCCCTTAATACCCTGAGGATGCCCGTTAGCAGAGACAACGCGACCCCGTGCCTTGGAACCTCCCTCTCGAACGCCCGGAAGCCTGACCCAACAGTCTACGCATTCTTGGCGACCGACACGGGCAACAATATATCAGGGTCCTCCACTGGCGCGCGGAAGTCCAAGGACGTCATTAACCTCCTTTCCTCACTACATCCTGACGCCGCTCCTAGCCCCCTCTTCACAAGAAGTAACTGCATTCAAAAAGCCCCATGTGTAACCATTCCGCGCGAAGATGTAGCTCGCGGCCATGCAAGCTCCACTCGCTTCGTCAGTAAGTGGCATTTCGCGGTCCTCGCGAACTGGCGAAGCCTGCTGTTCAGAACCCCGGCCTTGACCACTCTTGCCCTCCTCGATCGTCTGGCCACCCTCTCCCCGCTCCCAAGTCCAATCTTAAAGCGCGAAAAAACAAGCTGAATCGCGATACCTTTCTGCTTCGAATGTCTGGCCATGGCGCGAGCAACTGGATGCGTGGGACTGAGCGGCACGTCCTTCGGGGCGGCGCCGACGCATTCGATCCGAATGCACTCCGTGACGCCTCGCATGCAAGCGCTGCTTTGTTCTGCGCATGACTGGGAGTCACCATGCATAAAACCATCGATCTAAATGCGCTCCAGAGTTCGAGATGCAGGATGAGCCTCCGCAAACCGCTCCAGGACGCAATGCGTTCGTTCAACGCCATGTGAGCCTCGCCCCGTCCCCAGGCCCCTGGATGCCGCTGCGAACGGTTTGGAGCGCCATCGAGCGCAAGCCCAAGTGACCGGGGCATCCTCGACGCCGCGCGCGCCTGCAACTCGAGCGCCAGCGCCGCCGGCGGAAAACCCCATCGCAAGGCCGCCGACGCCAATCGGCCCCGTCGCACGGCCTCGAAGAGCGATCCCATGTCAAGGACGGCCCGCGCACCGCCCCTATCTGGTCGAGAACCTCTGACTCTGAAGCCTTGACGAACGCTTTCCCGGGCGCCGGCTTGCCGACTTATGTCGCGCCCCAAGAAACCCTGGCATCTGAATCTCATTGGTTTGCGTGCTCGCCCCACGCCAGCGACAAAAACTCTACGCGGCGCTGCTAGGGTCCCATCGCCCCATTCTCTCCAAAAGCTTTTTCGCCAACGATCTCCCCGGGGCCAAAAGCCTTTGCCAGGGCTGAAGGAGGCAACTTCTTAAGTCAAAGACAGGGAACCCAAATCCTTCATCGCCGAGTCAGGAAACCGCTCGAAGTCCAGGGGAGTCAGCTCGTCGACTCGAAGGCCCGCCCGGGTCTTCATCTTACGCAGCGCCTGCCCAACCTCTTGACCCCCCGACGGCAACAGATGCCCCGCTGCCGCCCGTTCTCGAATGCTGCAGAATGAACTGCCGATCTCAGCCGCGCTCGCGGCCGTCTCCCGCCGCGACTCTCGGCCCTCGCCAACTTTCTCGCCGACCGCGTCGACGGGGCGACGGCGCCTGCGACCAGCGGCAAGCGCCTCTTCAAGTGGTGCAAATGCTTCCTTCAGGCGACCGTGAATCTGGCCTCGGGGCTCGGGGGCAGCGACGCGCCCCTGGAACGTTCGGGGCGACCCCCCTGACCGCGAACGACGAGGCCCCCTGGGCGAACTATCCAAGTAAAAGACTCGAGCGTAGACGCACCCAGAGTCCTCAGGGGCCCGAGATAATGCAAACCCGCTGCCCGCGCGCCCCCCCCCCCTCCACCCCGCCTGGAACGAACAACTCGCGGCGCTTTATCAGGGGCGCCGCCTGCGCGACAAACTCCAAGCGCGAGGCCCGCTGAGGCCGTGCACTATGGCATCGAAACAAAGACTGAGACTGAGACCGGGCCTCGCCCGCCATGCTGCGACTGAATCAGCGAGCGGAATCTCTCGAACACGCCGCGCAAGATGGAGCTCCCGCAAAGACAATTCAGGTCCTTCGGGCCGGGACCTAAACTGACATCCTTCGCCCCCTTGGCTCCCGCGGTGGGCGCCGACTGTGGCCTCCAGAGCCCTGCCAACAACGCCGGACTGACCACCGACGCGCAATAGATGCCCCCCCTTCCAAACCCGCGGGCCAACGGTTCAGCTATGGCGGGCCAAACGCCACTGACAAACAGGGGGAATGCGGGGGGGTGGGGGGCGGCGGGGGGGGGCGCAACCGACGTGGGCCTTGCCGCGCAGGTAGAGCGAGTCGGGGATCGCAAAGACGGGGCTGGGCCCGCGTCGGCAGACGCGTGAGACGATGTAGTCTGGAGCTCGCCCGCCGCCTCGCAGCGCGGTGCAACGTCTGGTTTGGGCCCGAATGTTCATGGTGCCGCCGGTCGCCTGCGCCGCGAAAGGGGCGCTGAAACCCTGGTCGCAAAGCTCGTCGCCATGAAGGTCGGGTGGGCATGAAACTGCGGGTGCGCCAGCACTGAAGCTGTCAGTTTCGTCATATTCAGACTTGGTGGCAGACTGGCCTACCAGATCTCAAAACGATCGACTCGTTGCAGGCTCAGGCTCTGGCTGAGGCAGTTGCTGCGCAGCACGGCGCTTGGAATTTGATCGGCTAGACTTGCCACCCTGGGTGGGCGCGTCGTGGGTGGCGGTGATCTAGGCAGCTTGGGCGCAGACAGAAGATTCCTTGCGAGAAGATGGTTGCCTTCCCCAGCAATGCGGAGGCAACGCCGACAGCGCCCCCCCCCCAGGGGGGGTCGACCACGACGCCGAAGCCCTTAAAGCCCCCTTGCGAAGCCTTACTGAGAAACAGAAAACCCACGCGATAATCACCGCATCCAGTCGCACACGTGTTCTCAACACCTGCTTGACAAATGGCGCCGTCTACAGAATCGAGAAACCTGCTGCTGACGAACTTCTGAGGGCTTGCGTCGATATCCCCCGGGATGTTTCAAGGAGTGTTGACATCAAACGCGAAGGCCCCGAAAAGCACGAGGCGCCTCGCGTTCTCAGCAGAAAAGCCTCGGGAACAAATACCGTGGAATACACTGATGGCAACGGGATGTCTCTGGGGACGCAGCGCACTTGGTTTTTGAACCGCCGAAAGCGCTGCGCGATGCCATGCCCCAGTCGGGAAAACCTGGCGGTTCCCCCAAACGTCGGGGCTGATGGTGATCTTGCACCAAAATGACCCAACTCCCGTCGTTGGCACAGACTTGGACCACTTTTCCTTGCCTGCAGGCCTGGCGGGGTTACACAGGACATCATGCACTTGTAGAGGCCCAAGACATGCGCGCGGCATCTGATGCAAAGGTTGTTAAGATACTGGCGAATCCGAGTAGGTGAAAGATTTTGGCCCGGTCGGATACCTCATTCTCGCCGACGTTAGTTCCAGCAACACCTATGACATGACAATCACCCACACGCTTCTTAACATAAATCTGGGCCTGCTGAGCTAGCTTCGAAAAGTGGCTCGCTATGCTTTACACACACCAGGCTCAGCAAAGCCTGCGTCCTGTGAACTAGCCGAGGGGCCGCTCGAACTGCGCTGTCTGGCAGCTGGGGGAGTTCGTGCACGGCGCCCTCTCATGGCAGAAGACGAAAAGATACCCCCGCAGTGGACGCCGCTGTGGCTGACGGCGTGGGTGCCCCACCAGTCCACGGCGCAGATCACGATGATGCCGCCGCCGCTGCACCTGCCGCTGTCTCAGCAGCCTTGGCACTAGCTGCGGCCTCTGCTGCCTGCGTCTTGGCGCCGCTGATATTCTGGGCCTCCGCCCCGATCTGCGCCTCGATTTCGGCAGAGTTGGCGCAGGCAGACACGGGCGTGTCTCCACCGCTCGAACTGGCCGCTCCAAGGCTGGATGCTGCTGCCGCTGCCGCACTCTACTCCCTCCCTGCTAATACTCCTCCGTCAGGTCCGCGCTCCCGTTTGGCTGCCAAACGACCCTGCAATTTTCATCCCGTTCTTTTAAGCAAACCAATTTGGGGACATCGGCCGACTTGCTATCAGTCGCTTCCGTGTATGACTTCAGACCATTGCGGGCATGCTTGGGCTCATTTCCCTCTTTTTTGTTCAGTCTCTTATCAAGAATCAATGCCCTCATATTGTTTCACCCCGCTTGAATTAAATAAGCTGATCGGGCGATTCCTTGCCACTCACTTTGGGTTGCTCACCACTGGCCATGCCCTCTTGAATCGCGAACGCCCGAGCGGCTATCTTTGTTGTTGCATCCTGTGTGCTAGCACATTCGCAGCATATCCCTTCTCTCCTCGGACTTTCGCTGCATATCCCTTCTCTCCTCGGCCTTGGCTAGATTTTGCCTGAAGCTCACTACTGTTGAAACTGTTTTGTCGTGCTTGAACGATGCGTCTTTGATGGCCGCACTCGTACGCTTGATGGCCTCCTCAGGCACAACATAAGGGTCTGTATCGGGAGCCTTCTTGAGCTGTATTACCTGTTGTTCCAACAAATGCTTGACTTCTGGATCTGCCACCACCTGAAGAGCTTGCTCCCGAACTGCTACTAGCGCCGTGCCCAGGACTACATTTTGTGCCTAGGGGCACCAAACAACCGCCCCCCATCTGAGCCACCACGGCGTTTGAAAGGAGGAGGAGGAGCAGCAGGAGCAGGAGGAGGAGGAGGAGGAAGACGAGGAGAAAGAGGAGGCGGAGGCGGAACGGGAGGAGGCGGAGCAAAGGGGGAGGGGGAGGAAGGACGAGGAGTAAAGAAAGGCTCCTCCTCCTCCTCCTCGCTCTTCGCTCTTCGCTCCTCCTCCTCCTCCTCCTCCTCCTCCTCCTCCTCCTCCTCCTCCTCCTCCCCCTCCTCCCCCTCCGCCTCGTCCTCCTTTTGCGTTAGACCGACCTAAGTGTGAACGCTGTGGAGTTTGAAAACCCTCCTCCTCCTCCTCCTCCTCCTCCTCCCTCCTCCTCCTCTCTCCTCCTCCGTCGCGCTCATCGATCCTCATCCGCTCACCTGCTCACGTGCTGGTCTCCTCCTCCTCCTCCTCCTCCTTCCCTCCTCCTCCTCCTCCTCCTCCTCCTCCTCATCCTCCTCCTCCTCCTCCTCCTCCCCCCTCCCCCCTCCCCCCTCCTCCCCCTATTCGCCCCTCGGAGGAGGCCCGCCACCGGCAGAACAAGCGGGACCCGAGGCGCCCGAGGCGCACCGAGGCGCCGACCCAGGCCGCTCGGCTCCAGCTCCAGCGCGGCGCCACCGGCGGGCCCGCCCGGGCCAACGGCCAGCACCTCGATGGGCGCCATGCGCCGGCAGCGGCGGCGCGCCGCCCGGGGCGGCGGCCGTGCGCCGTGCGCGCCGTGCGGCCCGCCCGGGGGGCGCGGGCGGCCTCGCCGAGGCCGAGCGTCGGAGCCGCCGTCGGGGCGGGGCGCGGGGGGGGAGGGAGGGAGGGGGGGTGGGCAAGCTAGGTGCGCTCGCGTCATATCTGACGTCCTACCCCTCCCTCCCATCCCTTACCATGGCGCTGATTTTCTCTATCCGCGGACGCGTGTCGTAGCGGACCTGTGGCTCCGCGCGCGCGTGCGTAGTGGGTGGTGGTGCACGTGCGTGCGTGCGTGCGTGTGTGCGTGGTTGTCGTGGTGGTGGTGGTGGTGGTGGTGGTGGTGGTGGTGGTGGTTGGTGGTGGTGGTGGTGGTGGTGGTGGTGGGTAGTGGTGGTGGTGGTGGTGGTGGTGTTGGTGGTGGTGGTGGTGGTGGTGGTGGTGGTGGTGGTGATGGTGGTGGTGGTGGTGCTGGTGGTGGTGGTGGTGGTGCTGGTGGTGGTGCTGGTGGTGGTGGTGTTGGTATTGGTGCTGGTGGTGGTGGTGGTTGTGGTGGTGGTGGTGGTGGTGTTGGTGGTGGTGGTGGTGGTGGTGGTGGTGGTGGCGGTGCGGCGCGGTGGTGGCGGGCGGATGGGCGCGCGAGAAGAAGGCACGCGCTGGGGCGAGAACGCCATCCTGAACGACGGAGGCCAAACACCGATCCAAAAATGAGGCCCACGTTGCAGCGGGAGCACGATTCGGAACGATTCGGGAGCAGAAATGAAGCCGGCGCCTCAACGAGAGCAGCATTTTGAGAAAAAATGACGCCGGCGCCTCAGCGAGAGTCGTTTCCCGGGATTTTTCGGGCATCCTGTGTGTTAAAAAACAATACGCGGAAGGTGCGCGGCTATCACCCCGACGCCATCAGGGGAAGGATTCGGGAGCAGAAATGAGGCCGGCGCCTCAACGAGAGCAGCACTTTGGGAAAAAATGACGCCGGCGCGAGAGCAGCATTTTGAGAAAAAATGACACCGGCGCCTCAGCGAGAGTCGTTTCCCGGGATTTTTCGGGCATCCTGTGTGTAAAAAACAGTACGCGGAGGGTGCGCGGCTATCACCCGGACGCCATCAGGGGAAGAGGGAGAGTCTATTCATATTGAGTAATTGTGGAGGGGGGAGGGGAGGAGAGGGCGGGAGGGGGGGGAGAGCGGGGGAGGAAGGGAAGAGGAGGAGGAGGAGGAGGAGGAGGAGGAGGAGGGACCAGTGTAAACCCCAGACGCACCAACGATGTCCTCTCTCATGCCAAAACACAATTCCTGGGGCTGCAGCGCCGCGAAGCAACGACATCGTGCCAGGACACCATTCCTGGGACTTCAAAAATGCGAAACAACGACAACCCCAAATGTGGCAGACCGCAATTCCTGGGACTTGAGCTATGCGAGCCCTTGAAGCTGCTACAAACTTCTGAAACAAATCCGCGCAGCGCCACGGCGAGAGCCATATTTTGAAAAAAGACCCCGCCTTCATCTTTGAAGCTGCTGCACTCTGTTAAGACGAATGCGCGCGGCGCTGAGGCAAGAGCCACATTTCACAAAGAACCGCCCTCCATCCTCGAAACGGTTGCAAACTTTTGAACCGAATGTGCGCGGCGCTCAGTCGAGAGCCACATGTTGAAAACTACCTGCCCACCATCCGTGAAACTCTTGCAAATTTCGAGGCTCAGGATCATACATGGTGAAGACGTCTCCAGCGAAACGCCCAGCCCCCCCTACCGATACGTGTCGGGGTGCGACAGGGGGAGTGACTTATAAGGAATCCCGGAGCAGGAGAATGAAGAGGGGGAGGATGGGGAGCTGGGAGGAGGGGGAGGTCCTGGTTTTGTCGTCTGCAAGGGGTCCTGGCACCACATGACGACAGGGAGGGGGCAGTGAGGCGGTGGAGGGAGGAAGGGAGGGAGCAAGTACACTGTCAGGATCAAGGCTAAAAGCACGGTGGCTGCGACGCACGCCGCGCGAGGCGGCTCACGGGCCAAAATGCTTGGCGGGGCGACATCGCTGAAGGGTGCTCGAAGACGCTGTACCTCCGCCCAGGCGCTGATCTGGCAGAGGCCGTCGAGCTGCTGGCCCGGCGGGCGGGT